CAACTCTGGAGAAGTCGTCAACTTTCTAAAGCAGCATCCAGGCGCGAGGTTTAGAGCTTTTTCGATTGACATAAAAGACCTTTATTATTCCCTTCCGCACGAAGGTTTGTTAGCATGCATTGATGAATGCATTGACAGTATCGGCGCGGTGCCATTTCAGAACACCACGGGTATTCGTCCAAAGGTTTCTTAGAACTTTTATCTTTGTACATCACATCAACGTTTGTAGAATGGAACGGAAAAACATATATACAGAAAGAAGGTGTCTCAATAGGATCGTCCATAGCTCCTTTTCTAAGTGACTTGCTATTAGCCAAATTTGATAGGGCATTGAATGTGAAGCTTGGTGAACTATCTGTAGTAAAGACCTTTCGGTATGTGGATGATTATCTGTTAATTTTGAGGTGTGATTTAGAGACCTTTCATTCCAAGGTCATGCAGGTGTTGCAAATCTTTCGCGAATGCCTCTTTCCACTCGTGGTGACGCACGAGATGCCGGAAAGGGATAGCATCCGCTTTCTTGACCTAAAGATTTCTTTTTCGGAGAACCACACGTGCTGGTGTTACGAGCCTCGCTCGCAGAAGCCTGTTCTTCCGTTCTCGTCTGCGCATAGCAAATTAGTAAAGAGAGGCATTGTTCAATCATGTTTTCACAATGCCTTAGAGAGGTCGTGTCACCACGTCTTAGAAGCTAGTCTCTTGGCACAGTCGGAGCGCCTAGAAAGAGAAGGGTACCCTCGCACTTTGCTCATTTCCGTGGCGGAGGCAATGCACAGAAAAAGGAAACGATTGGGCACTGTTTGCAACAGTGATGGCACCACAGCGGAGAAGAGGGAAAAGGTAGCGGTTATTCCGTACATGCATTCTGTGTCACACCGCCTAAAGAAAATAGGACAGCGCCTCAATGTGAAAGTGGTCTTCAGTGCCCCTGATAAGTTGTCCCAGTTGACAAACAGGACCTGCCCCGTAAAGAGTATGAGAAAACGGTGTATGGTGAGGCACAGAACGCAGTTTGTGGACTGCGCGTTAGGCGTCGTTTACAGGACCCCTTTTTCTTGCGGTGCATGTTATGTGGGCCAGACGGGCAGATGCCTTAACGATCGCTTACGGGAACATGCCAATAATGTTCGTGGCGGAAAAGATGGCTTCTTAGCGCAACACGTGAGCACGTGTGGGTGCACTCCGCTGTTTGAAAAAACAACAGTTCTATGCAAGATTAAAGAGGAAAACGTGCGTATAATTTATGAGGCTGCTCAAATGGAGCTTGAAAGCGGCGCATGCGTAAGCAAGCCTTCAGTTGCTCTTTCAGATAAAGAGATATGTTTCTTGAGGTGCGAGGGTAGGCGCAGCAGGCATGGCGTTAGTTGATAATTTGTATCTTAAAATACGTCATTTTTTCACTCTTTGTGCTCCATTGCATATTAACGGTCTTCTCGTCAATAAAATTTCAGTTGGAAGTCAGTGCTTGTCTCGTCCCGTTCTTGTCTTTTGTGCATTTTTCGCGCTGCTAAAACCTAAGTCCATCAGGCTATCCCGGAGCTATGTACAGACCAACCACCTTGTCATCCAGCAGACTTAAGACATTTCTTGCACTGTCTTGAACATAATAAGAGATACACTCTGATCTTATCAGCTTAATATCTGATATGAATCCCGGATGGATCCCATATATTAAACTTAATTTTGTGATGCGGCGGAGTGCTTGAAGGTTGCTTCACTTCCGCCACGGGTTGGCCTGGTATTGCACTACCTCCGGGATCGGCCCACTCCCTCTGCGGGGGTGAGTTTTACATTATTCTCAATAAAAGAAAGAGTGTCCAGACTTACCAACGATATCGGGTTAAACCGCGTGGGTGCGGCGAGTGTCCGAAGCTTTGGCATCACGCTGCCTCATCACGACCCACCCCGCACACACCTGCAGCAAGGTGGAGCGGCAAAGCCCCAATTTGCTTTTCCTGTGTCCCTGACATGGTCGTTGCCACGCATTCCTGAAGCTACCTCGCTAGTGCCCTCGGCCATAGCCTTGTATTGATGATATGATGATATGTGGGGTTTAACGTCTCGAAACCTCCATATGATCATGAGAGATGCCGTAGTGGAGGGCTCCGGAAATTTCGACCACCTGAGGTTCTTAACGTGCACCCTGATCTGAGCAACCGGGCCTACAACATTTCAGAAATGCATCCAAAAAATGCAACTATCGGAAATGAAGCCGCCGCAGCTGGGATTCAATCCCACCACGTGCGGGTCAGCAGCCGAGTACCTTATAGCCACTAGATCACCACGGCGGGCATCGCGTGTTTGTTGATCACACACTACATTTCTGGACACCATCCTCATACCAGCTCATCCGTCGTAGGCTCTCGTTAATTACAACAAACATCCTCGCATGCTCACCTGAATGTAATTGCCAGTTGCTGGAAGTTCCCAGAAAAATTGCGCACTAGATGTGCAGACGCACCACGCACGTACCTGAAGCGCTGTGGAACCCAGGACGCGTGAGAACACGCCCCGGCCGGGCTTTGCTGTGCTTTGCCTCTGTACCCACTCATCACTCCTCACAGCTTCACTTAGCGGAATATGTAGAAGTCGAACAAGCAGAACAACAAACCGGCAGTTCCCACAATGGGTGTGAGCCACAAGTGAACAAGAACAAGCAACACCAGCGAGCGCAGTGAGGAAGCTATCGTAGTGGGGCAAAATAATCGATGAATATGGCTGCACCTTGCCGCACAGTCGCATTTGTGCAACCACCCGTCTCCCGAAGACCGTCCGTCGCGAGTCTACTCGCACCTCACTCAGCGGAATTCGACTAAAGTACTTCTACACTGATTTCCGCGACCACTTGACGACCGCCTTCTGCCGCCTCATATCCGGTCCGATCGACGGAGCGCCGCGCCAGCGCCTCGTACATGCCACCGTAGCACTCCTACCCCTCGGAATCAGCAAAACCTGGACCTTTTCGACAAAGACAGGCAGAGCCTGCCGGCCGGTTGAATGCTTGAGCGACATCGCAGCACCATTTCGCACACTCACGTTCCGTCACCCTCTGCCACATGACCCTTCATTCACCGATGGATGGATGGATGGATGGATGGATGGATTGATGGATGGATATGGCTGTACCCTTTAGATCGGGCGGTGGCTAGCGCCACCAAGCCGTAATACTTAATGAACCCAAAACTATATTTTTTTTCTTAAAAAGTTAATTTGAAGATTCGTACTTTGCAGTGAAGAGTTTAATCTTCACTCATGCCTTGACTTTAGCCACCAATCAGATAACCTCCTTCTAGTTAAGTCTACTTGCTTAAAGTTTATTTTGCCCTCCCGGTCCCTAAACCCCAGTGCTTTGAAAAACTCTGTGCCATCATCCTGAACTATAAGGTGAAGCCCTTTACAGAACATTATCAAGTGTTCGGCAGTTTCTTCTTCTTCTACACACGCACTGCATACTGTGTCTACCCCTTCGTATTTGGCCCGATATGTCTTGGTTCGCAGTACTCCCGTTCTGGCCTCAAACAGTAGAGAACTACCCCGAGTATTGTCATAGATCCTTTCCTTGGCAATTTCCTGCTTAAACGTTCGATAGATCTCTAGTGCGGACTTCTTAATCATGCCCATTCTCCACATGTCAGTCTCCGTTCCCTTCACTTTCTTCTTAACCGATAGTTCTTTTTGGTTTGGCCACCTGCTGTTTTCTAAGTATTTACCTGTCAACTTCCTGGTTCGCTTCCTCCATTTTGTATCAACATTCTTCATGTACAAGTAGCTGAAAACCTTCCTAGCCCAAGGCTCTTCCCCCATTTCTCTCAATCGCTTCTCAAATTTTATCTTGCTGCTAGCTTCCCTGCCCTCAAATGATGTCCATCCCATATCACCTTGTACTCCCTGATTTGGTGTATTCCCGTGAGCTCCTAAAGCAAGCCTACCAATTCCACGTTGCTTAATTTCCAATCTTGCTTGAACTTCTGATCTCATGCACAAGACCGCATTGCCGAACGTCAGCCCAGGAACCATGACCCCTTTCCATATTCCTCTCACAACATCATACCTATTGTAATTCCACAGTGCCCTATTTTTCATGACTGCTGCATTCCTGTTACCTTTATTCGTCACGTATATTTCGTGTTCCCTCAGATACTCGGTCCCATTGCTTATCCATACGCCCAGATATTTGTATTTATCTGTTATCTCTAGCGTGACCTCCTGTATTTTAAGCTCACTACCTTCGTTGTCATTGAAAATCATGACTGCTGATTTTTTCTTACTGAATCTAAAATCTAACCTATCTCCCTCATTACCGCATTACCGCGCCACGACACCACCGGTGTGGTGTCGTGGCGCCACCTGTGAGTGGCGCACGCACTGAGTGCGCCCTAGTGTGTACTCTCTCAACAGATGTCGTCTGTAACGGCACACACGTGAT